GGACTAAACAGAGTCCGCAGAAAGCCACAGACAGGAGTCAGGTAGGGGCAGGCGGCCACACCCCCCACGTCGAGCGTTTTACGTCTTTTAAGGAGAACTTTAAAAAGAGAGAGAGAGAGAAAGAGGGCAGAGAAGAATCAAAAGGTAATGAAAAAAATCCCCCCTGCCCCCCACCCCTAAGACACAGTTTTCGGAAGTCCCGCGTGTGTGTGGACGGGCCCCTCCCCACTTGGCCCGCAAAGCCCGGGGCTTCAGCAGTTGCGGTCTCTGTGCGCGCGCGTGCGCGTGTGTGTGTGGACGGGCCCCTCCCTCCGGTGAAAACATCTCAGGGCAGGTGCAGGCGCTCGGCCACGCGCCCCTCCCCACTTGGCCCGCAAAGCCCGGGCTTCAGCAGTTGCGGTCTCTGCGCGCGCGCGCGCGCGCGCCGCGGGTCTCGGTCACGGATGCTGCGGGGGCCTCGCGCGCTCTGCGGCCCCGGGCGCGCCCGCGCGGCCGGCTCAGGACTTGTGCTGCGCCGACACGCCCTTCCAATAGTCCAGGATGTCATGCAGGTCCTCGTCCTTGGCGAACTGCACCTTCCTCCGCAGCGCGTGGCCGGCTGCCACGCACTCCCCGGCCTCACGGTGCCGCCGGCGGCTCAGTCTGAAGCGGCCCCAGAGGCTGCGGGAGGCGCGGCAGGCGTACTCGGGGCTGGAGGCGTAGCTCAGGTGGTGGTACTGCGGCGACAGCGGTGCGTAGGCCAGGTCGCGGGGACGCGGCCGCGTCAGCTCCAGGATGGAGGCCTTGCGGCCGCCCAGGCTCTCAGGGGGCGCGGGGGGCGCGGGGGGCTCGGCGGGGTGGGGCCCGGGGTACGAGTGCCGGTGCTCCCCGTACTGCCGGCCCTTCTCGGGCTCGGCCCGCAGCACGGCGGCTGCGGGCGTCACGGTGAGGATGGCCTCAGCCGCGGGCGAGCCCTTCTCGATGTACTTGGCCTCGTGGAGCGCGGCGGGCTCGGCGCGGTAGGGCCGCGGGCTGCGGGCGGAGCCGCTGGAGGAGGAGCTGGCCCGCGGGGCCCCAGGAGCAGCCTCCAGGCTATGGTGCCGCTGCAGGCCGCAGGCGTCCTGGTAGGCGGGCGCCAGGAAGCCACGCTTGCCGGCCAGCGGCTCGGCCGTGGACACGGCCCCCGGCTTGCTGCCCTGGAAGGAGGTGGACTCGGCCTTGAGGGCATCGATGCAGTTGTTGATGATCTGGTTGACCTTGTCCACCTCCTTGGCGATGGTGGAGATCTCGGCCACCGAGCTCCGGCTGTCGGGGCCCGGCCGGCCTGGCTCCCCGTCCCTGCGCTCCACCTGCTCCGCCGCGCGCACCTCCATGTAGCCGCCCTTGCTGCCCTTGGGCGTCCCGCCGCCCTCCGCCAGCTGGTACTGCTCCACCTCGCCGGGGCCGGCGGGCAGGTACGGGATGCGGGTCACTGCCTCGGGGCCCAGCAGCGGGCCCTGGGACAGCGGCGCCAGGCTGGGCGCCTCCGGCTCGGGCCCGTACTTGAGCTCGATGATGGTCTTCTTGAGGCTGCCGGCCGCCGCGGCCGCCTGCTTCTGCTTGCCCTCCCGCCGCCGCCGCCGCCGCAGGCAGTAGTAGACGGCGCCCAGCACCAGCACCATGCCGAAGAGGCAGCCCAGGACGGTCATGATGTAGTGGGTGGCCGTGGAGGGGCTGGGCACGGGCCCCGGCGGGCTGGGTGGCTGCGGCAGGCAGAGGGTGAGGCAGGAGTGGTTGTGCAGCTGGCCCGAGCTACTGGACACCACGCAGTAGGTGTAGTTGGTGAGCGCATGCAGGTTGGTCAGGCGGACCTCCTCCTGGGCGCGCGTCAGCCTGGACACGGTGGACGACTTGCTGTTGTTGAAGTGCTCCAGCGTGTACATGCGGGTGAGCGGGCGGGGCAGCCGCACCGAGATGGTGGCCGAGTTCTGGGTCAGCTGCCTGACCTTGATGAGCGGGCGGGCCTCGGCCTGCGGGGCCAGCGTGGGCAGGGCCACCAGCGGCGTGGTGCCGTCGCCGGAGAAGCATTCATCGTCGGCGCAGGGGGCCTCGCTGGGCTCCGCCGGGGGCGGTGGGGGGGAGCGGCCGGCCGGGGGGCGGCCGGGCACGGGGCGCGTCTCGGCCGCGTATGGGCTGTCGGTGCACACGGACTGCAGCTTGCCCAGGATGCTGCGCTGGCCGTGGCGGCCCTGGCCCAGCAGGAAGTAGCCGGAGTAGACGGGCGGGGACTCGCACTGCACGCGGTCGTGGGCCTGCGTGGCGTTGGCGAAGGCCGCCAGCCAGCGCAGGAAGCCCAGCAGCTCGCAGGAGCAGTAGAAGGGGTTGCTGTAGAGTTCGCACACGGAGAGCCGCGCCAGGCCCACGAAGGTGGCGCTGTGCAGGCGCTGGATGCGGTTCATGGACAGGTCCACGTTGACGATGTTGGGGCACTCCCAGAAGGCGCCGGGCGCCACCGCCTCAATGAGGTTGGCCTGCAGGTACAGGTACTCGAGCTTGCCCAGGCCACGCAGCACGCCCTCCGTCAGGTTGCGCAGCCGGTTGTAGCCGAGCTGCAGCACCTGCAGGTTGAACTGGCCCGAGAAGGCGCCGTCCTCGATGTAGCCGATCTCGTTCTTGGTGAGGTTGAGGTACGTGAGGTTGCCGAAGCGGCTGAGCGCCGCGTACTGCACGCTGCGGATGCGGTTCTCGTTGAGCCGCAGGTCCACGATGGTGCTGTTGATCTGCTGCGGGATGGCCTCGTAGGGCGGCTGGTTCTGGCTACAGATGGCCAGCCACACGAAGCCCTTGTCGCCCTCGATGAGCCAGCAGTCGCCGCGCGCCAGCCCGCCTGCCTGTAGCAGGGCGGCCGCCATGCACGCCCACACCCACGGTGCCCCCTGCCTGCACGCGGCCATCAGGACCCACCCGCGGGGGCCACCCGCTCAGCCTGCCCGGGGCGCGGGGTGGGGGCCTGGGCGGCGGGGTGCGTGGGAGGGGAGGGCGCCCGCCTGCTCAGCGGCGTCCCGGGCGCATGGCCCCGCGCTGCAAGGGGAGCACCTCCCTCATGGCCAGCCACCTCGCTCGGTCCACCCGTGTCCGGCAGGGGCCACGGCCTGCTTCCCCATCGGTCCAGCCGGTCCTGCGGGAGACGAAAGGGGGGATGGGTCAGCAGGCCTCCCCGCAGGCACAGGTCCGGTGCAGGCCTGCACCCAGCCCATGGGGCGTGATGAGGAAGGGGCCCTGGGGGGCTCAGCGGGGCTGTTCCCTGACCCGGGGCAGGCGTCCACCGCCACCTCCCACCCTTCCTCTGTAGACACGTGGGAATCCAGCGCCAAGCTGGATGGGTGGGCACAGCAGGAGCAAGGCTGCCGTCACTCAGCCAGGGGTGATGGGGGTGACAGGTGCCCGGGGGGGTGGCTCTGAGCCCCGCCCCGGGTCCTGAGCTCCTGTTGGGAGGTGCGAACGCCGCACTCTGGGCCTGCTTCCTCCAGCAAACCGCAGACCCTGAGGCTGTCACCACCGAGTCGGGTCCCAGCAGTAAGGACTGGGAGGAGAGTGTCCCCTGGCTCAGCTGAAGACACCGCTGCAGCCCTGATGCCTCCCACCTGACCCCACCCCAACCCTGGGTCTCGGCTGTGAACACCTTGCTGTCTGCTCCCCCAACCCCCGAGCTGCTCTAGAGCAGGCCCTCCCGACCGCACGCTCACCCCCACCCACGGAGCCCGCGTGTGCGAGATGTGGCCGGACGGTCGCTGGGTTGGTCCTGCTCGCCAGGGCTCTCCTCTGCCCCTCGTATTTCTCCCTCAGGACCGAAGGATGGGGGTGTGTTTGCTTGTTACTGTTTGGATTTACAGCGGCCTCTATAACCGCTCTGTGGCCTGGCAGGCAGCCAGCTGACTGTATTTCACTGATATTGACGTTTGCAACTAGTCCGCACTGAAGCGGGTTTAAATCAGGAGGAAAAAATAATGGTTTCTCCCCCTTCAGAAACTTCATCAAGAACAGTTCTGAGCTTGCTCCTGTGGAAGAGCCTTTCTGATTTAAAGCGAGGGGAAGGGTCAGCAGGGGTGGGGATGGGAGAAGGTCCTGGCATGGCCCAGTGCTGCCATGCGACCCCCAAGAAAGCTCGGGGCCATTCTGGGCCCGACCAGAAGCGTCTGGGAGAGGGGCGGCCTGGGGCTTGTTGGGTCCCCCTCCCCTCAGGGAGCAGCCCCGGGTCCCCGTATGGTCTCCCGTGATGTGAAATCTATACCCCATGGGGCATCCCGGGGCCATCGCCACCACCTGGAACCCACCCCCACGCACCTGCCCCATCATCCCGATGCTGAGATGGGGGCTGCACTGGTGGCCAGAGGCCCAGAGTGGGCTGGGCAGCAGGGTCTGTGCCTGGGCAGGTGTGGGTGGGAGCACCAGGCTCCCCGGGCCCAGCTAGGAGGTGCAGCCTGATCATAATCACTTTTAATCTCTTGCTCAAAATAACCCAAAGTCAAGTTAAGGAGGATTACAGGCCTAAAGAACCCTTATCTCAGGGCTGCCCAGCCTGTGCCACCCCCGTGCTCGGCACACCTGGGCGTGCGGTGGCCGTGAGTGTGTGCACGCACACACACGCTGGGGCCTGCGTGCCTGGAGGTGGATGCAGCCTCACCCCAGCACCCAAGGGCGTGCCGGCAGCTGGGATCCAGCCGGGCGGGTGCACCGCCTCCTGCCCTGGCTGTGAGAGTCTAAGAACTGTGCTGGGGACCAGGCCCGCCCCGCAGGCACCCCCGCCTGGAGGCTGCCCGTCACGCGGCAGGTGTGACAAGGAGGCGTGACTGACCCAGCCCACCCTGAGCCCCCAAGCCCACCGCCCCCAGAGCCTGGGCTGAGCGGGAGCCAGGCTGGGGAGACGGCGCCTCACTGAGAGTGTGGGTGCCACCTGTAGGCCATGCCCCCACCGCGTGCAAGCACTGCCTCTGCCCCCGTGACCGCGGCCTCCAAGGGACCCCAGAGTGCTGCCCACGCACATGGGCGGGGGGTGGGGGCAGAGGGCTGCGGCCAAGGTCACCTGTGAGCAGCGGGACAGCGGTGCCTCGTCCCTGGGGGGCCCCTCGGCCACCGTGTGCATCATCATCCTGAACCTCAGCAGGCGGGGGGGCGGACCCTACCCCCAGGGCCTGGGAGCCCCGTGGACTGGGGACCTCGGGAAACAGCTGGTCGTCCACCTGGGAAGGTTCAGAAAGTTCCGCCAAGCCCCCTGCCCGCTCACCCCCTGCCCCCTGGGTGCCCCATGTCTCTGCGCATGCCCTGGGCCCAAGGGTCCAAGAGACCTGTCCCGCCCTGCGCCCCTGATTCAGGGCCCGGCCCAGGTGGAGCAGGGGCCTCACCCTGCCCGGCCGGCCCTCGGCCTCTCCGGGGTCCCCATGTCCCCTGCACCTCTGACGTGGGCCCCTTGCCTCCCACCCCAGCCCCTTGCTGTGCCCGCTGACCGTGCCAGGGCAGAGGGCCACCCGCGCCTCACCCGACAAGATGGCCACAGTCTCAGGTGGGGCGGGGTGCTAGCAACGCGGCTGGGCAGTGATGCTGTTGGACACGTTCTAGAACCTTCCTCAGGGAGACAGCAGGACTGGACAGACTCAGGCCGCGCCCCCTCCCCTGCCTTCCTTCCCAGGGCTGTCAGCGGTTCCACCCCTCCCCGACCCCCCAGGCAGTGTCCGGCCCCCACCTCCCAGGCCACCTGCTGCTCAGAGGGGCACCTCCCTGTCCTTGCAGGTGGCAGCCCTGGTGCTCCCCCCGGTGCCCTTCCCCCCCCAGCAGTCACAGTGCTCCTCCGTGTGCCTGACCCGCCACCCTCCCTGCCCTGGGCCCCAGACTCAGACACAGCTGCTTCCCTTCAAGCTCAGACTCCCGATGGGGCGTTCTGCCCCGCGCTCCTCGTGCAGGAACCAAGTTCTGTCCTCAGGTCCCCCCTCCGGGCTGCATGCGCCCAGGCCCACGACTGCAGTGCCCACACCGCTCCCAGCCGCAATCCCCGCTTCCCGCCACACCCACTGTGCACCCCCCAGGCCAAGCCAGCCCCTTCCCTTGCGGCAATGAAGCCCACTGCCCCATCCGGTCTGCTGGCACCCACACTCCACCTCCACACAGCCCAGGGACCGGGAGAGCCTCACGGGACCCCACTGTCCCCACCCCGAAGGACAGCCACCCTTCCCCAGGCTGCAAGGGGAGCAAGACCCAGGCCCCCCACATGGATCTGCCAGGGCCTGCCCAGCACCTCTGCCCTCCAGCTGCCCCAGCACAGCGGCTCTGCCAGAAGGCGCGTCCTGCTGCTCATCAGAAGAGGCCCCTCATCTCGGGGCGGGGGAACCCCAGGCCAGCAGCCTCCTCTCTGAACCAGCTCCTGACTATCCGTCACCCCTTCCTCTCTGCCCGCCACCGTCTCCTAACGGGCTCCTTGTCCTCTTGATTCATTTTCTAGATGAATGTCCTCCCTGGCCGGGATGTGAACTCCAGAGGGAAGCATCCAGACCCCGCCGTGATGCGCCAGGCCCAGAGCTGTGCCAAGCGCGTGGGGGGCGTCCGGCCGGGCACATGCGCTCCGTTTCCTCATCTGAGACATGGGGGAGGGGCACCCAGCTCACAGCACGAGCTGCTCTGTTCATGGGGCCAGTGGGAGCTGCCCCTATGCCCGAGGGCCACCCTGGCCTGAGTCCCGACAGGGCCAGGAATGCGTGTGTGACGTGCCCATCCTGTGCCCAGGAGGACACAGCCCCCGGCACGAGTCAGCGTCACAGCCGTCGGGCCCGCAGGCCTCACCACGGTCCTGCAGGTGAGGGGACAGCATGGCCACCACGCCCTCCAGGCCCAGGGGAGAAGGGACAGCAGGCCCCCCAGAGCTCCCCGCCCCGTCCCCGAGGAGTCCCGACGGGGATGCTGAGCTGAGCCTGGCATCGGGTTTGCTCCTTCACATCAGCACTACAGCCTGGGTCACTGCTAATGACGTGAAGAAATATGGCGGTTCCAGGCTTTTAAACTTCTTATGACTGGATTTGCATAATCACGGGCGCTGTGCGGGGACAGAAGCACCTGTTTATAAGACACGGGGCACGGACAAGGGCCGGGCTGGCCAAGGAGCCCGCCGCCCGAGAGGAGAGACTCGACGCCTCTGGAGGGCCACGTAGGCTGAGGGCCAGGCGCGGGAGTCACGTACCCACAGCCGCCTGCCGTGCCCGGGCTCTGCCGACAGATCACGTTTACAGCTGACGTCTGCCGGTCTCTGCAGCCTGCTGCTGCCGCAGAGAGACGGGTCGTGGGGGGCACGAGGCAGACGGCGTGACCCGGACCAGCCAGACCAGCCGTGGGGCCTGCCCGCGAGAAAGGGCGCGGAGCCAGCAGTGACCGCAGGTTCCCAGGCTGGGTCTGGCACGCCGGCCGCGCCGTGCTCCGGCTGTGACCCCAGGTAGTCACCCGGCCTCTCTGAGCCTGCTGCCTCCTCGGCCAAAGGTAACAGGGAGGCCGCTGTGACTGGAGGCGTCCCGCGTGGGGCGCTCTCTACGCCCTGGTCTCCCTGCAGCTGCCCGCCGGCAGACAGGGAGGAGCCCTGGGCAGCGTGTCAGCGAGGCGCCCACCTGGTGTGCCCGCGGCGGGCAGGCGTGTCTCGGCACCCCCCCAGAGCCCGCCCTCGCCCGCCCCCGCCCGCCCCCTGCCTCCCTGGGTGCCCACGGAGACTGGCACGGGCTCCCACAGCGGGAGGCCCAGCGAGGCTGGTGCCTCAGGACCTGGCCACGGGGTTGGCTCTGGTGAGCCCCTGACCTCGGCTGCCCGCGGCCTCGTCCTCCGGGAGGCGTGGGGGGGTGGGATCACCCCTGCCCTCCACCCTCAGGGATGGAGCCGGTGCGGGCCAGGCGCAGAGGCGCTGCATGCCTGAACCGCCCGCCAGGTGCCCTCAGGCCTCACCCTGCCCGCTCAGAGGCTGCGGCGCAGCACGTGTGCAGGCGTGCCCTCTTCCTTCCTCCGGGACCCTGCACCTATCAAGTGCCTACTGTACACTAGCCCGCTTCTCCCATCTGCGGGGAGGCAGGTGCCAGCGTTACACAACTGGATGCACGGGAAGCGGGCTCAGGGCAGGAAAGGTGTTGGCACAGGGTGGCGGGCCCTCCCAGAGCGGGGGCGGGGGCACAGCTCGCACCCGTCACTGTGTCACTAGAGTCCCTGGGTTCCAGGGAGGGCAGCAGCTCCAGGGGGCGGGGGGAGGTGCTGAGCAGGAGGCTGGGGGGCTGGAGTCCTGCCCCTTCCCCCTCACCCGCCCCACCCCCCCCCCGCCGGGCCCCCGTTCAGGCTGCTCAGGAGTTAATTAGGGACCCAAACACTTCATGGTCTGTTATGCTTCCACTGGGCATCTTTTTAAATTAAAAAACATGATGTACGGCATCGTTGGAGGGAGAAATCACTTTGCAATGGTTTCCCGCTTGGTGCTGGCAGGACGTAGGCGAGGGTAGCTGGCTGGCCTCCGGGGAGGGGGGCTGACGCGAGACCCTCTCCAGGGAAGGGTGGGGGTGCCCGCCAGGCCCTGTTCCGCTTACAGCCCAGGGCCCTGGCGCCAGGAAGCGCTGTCTCCAGACCCGAATCTCTCCTTCTGAGGGCTGGCCGGCCCGAGCCTGGACGCCGAGGTCGTCTCTTCTGCCCCTGCTGGTGGACCCTGGACCAGGGGCCCTCCCGAGGCCCTGAGCTCTGAGCCCAGCCTGGCAGGGGGCAGGGCTGCCACTCAGGCCGTGGGGAGGGCCCAGGGCCCAGGGCCCCCTGTGCTCCGCGGCCCCAGGACCCTGTTCACGCAGTCACACCTCTGCACACGCGGGCCCTGCCTCACTTTGCCGGGCTGTGATTATTCATCAGAGCATCCTTCCTGGCCACGATTAATGGTGTTAAAGAATTGGGGCATGGTTTTGGAGCAGAGGTTATAAATGAACAATTAGCCCTCAAATGCTAAATTAGTATGGGAAATAAAACGCCAAGAAAAGTCGGTCTAACAGCATGTGCAGCGTCACAATCAGGACACGTCTGCAGAGCCCAGGCTGGTCTTGGCGGCCAGCACAGGTCCGCACGGCGCTCGGCAGCAGGGGGTCCATGTGGGAATCGCAAGGGCTGTTCACACCGCCCAGCAACCCGGCTGCTCCCAGGGAGCAGGCGGGCGGGCGTCTGAGGACGAGTTTCCCTGCAACCTGCGCCACCGAGTCCCCAGAGGCGTGTCCTTCCAGGAGGCTCCCGCCATCAGCTGCCCCGCACACGCCAAGAAACCCCCCAGACAAATCAGGCCCATGCTCCAGCCCCGCCCCGAGGGGCCTCCAGCCCCGCCCAGTCTGAGCTTCAAAAACAAACCTGGAAGCTGCCTGGTCTCATTGTACCCGCGGCCGCAGCTTTCAGAGGGGACGCCGCCCACGGCCCGGCCTGGGCCAGTGTGCACACGCGTGCGTCACCACAGACATACTCGGCTCGCGCGTGTCACCGCAGACACTAGCGCTCATGTGCGTGCGTCATCAGACACACTCGGCTCACGTGCGTGTGTTACCACAGACGTGCGCACACAGGCTCGTGCTTGTGTGCGTCACCACGGACACAGCACGGCTCTTGCTGGGCTGCTCCGCCCATGGGGACCACGGGCCCTCCTGGGACCGGACACCCACCTGTCTGAGCATCCCTACATCTGCATCCATCCGTGCGACTTGCCTGCAGCAGAGAAGGACTCCTCGGGCACAGAGAAAGGTCAAACCTCACCCCCCCCCCCCGCAGGCACAGTGGGGTCGTCAGGACTCGGCCCCCAGCCCAGGGGGCCGCTCAAGCCCGTCCCCCTCCTCCACAGCCGACCAGGCCCTGCCCGCCCCCCGCACCCTTCCTGTGACCTACGGGGCGGTGACCAACTCGCATCTCTCACATTTTCCCCAAGACACTGTCTCCTCTGCCTGGAACACCCCTCCGCCCACCCCAGCCCTCTGTGGCCTAGTGTCCTCCGTTCAGACTCCAGGCTGGGGTCTCCCCTGGGTAATGCCCAAAGCTTCTGGGGCTTGCCCCACCATGACCCCACACCACCAGGACCAGACCCCCTGTCTCCCCACCCGTCAGATCCCAGGCAGAAAGCCCGTGGCCAGCAGGGCCAGGTCCCTCTGTCTGCCCGGCGCAGAGCGGGCAATGCCCTGAGCCCATGGGAGCCCCCATCACCAGAGGACATGCCACTCGCCCGGGGACACCCCCCACTCTCCTCTCTCCCAGAGGAGTTCTTGTGGGGCCCCTTTCACTTGCAGATTACCCCTGTTTGCACAGTGAGCTGTCCCGAGGTCACTCTCTGAGGTGGCCTCTGGGGACTCCTGTTCCCACACGCGCACACACCGTTTAAATCACTTTCTCCACTGGTCAGAACGGCCATCATCAAAGTCTACAAGTGACAGGTGTGGAGGGAAGGGAACCCTCCTACACGGTTGGTGAGGATGCAAATGGGGTGCAGTCACTATGGAGAACAGTCTGGAGGTTCTTCAAAAAACGAAACCCGGAACTACCATGTGATCCCGCTCTTGGGGGTGTGTGCAGAGAAAAACTCGTTCAGACGGAGACCCTGGTGTTCACTGCGGCAGCGTTTGCAACAGGCGAGACGTGGAGGCGGCCTACACGTCCATCAGAGAGGAGAGGGTGAAGACGGGGTACATGTCCACAACGCAAGCCTGCTCAACTGCGAGAGGGAGGAGGTAACGCCGTTTGCAGCGACACGGGTGGCTCAGCCTGTCGGAAGGACGAACACTGCATGACAGCCCTTACCTGTGCCCTCGAGCCCGCGACGCAGCTGAACGTTCGTGAAACAGACTCAGTGGACAGACAGGCGCGCGGCTGCCGAGGCGGGCTGGCGGGGGAGCCTGGAGCAGGAGTCGGCTGAGCGGACGCAAGCTACAGTGTGCGGCGGTCCACAAACTCTGTGGCACAGTGACCGGCTTCGTGGGCAGACATTTTCCACGGACAGGGTGGGGATGGTGGTGACGGTTCAGGCGGCAACGCGAGCGGCAGATGAAGCTCCGTGGGCTCGTGTGCCCAGCCCCTGCTGTGTGGCCAGCTCCTAACGGGCAGCCCCGGGCCGGGCACCAGACCCACAGGACGGGCAAACGCAAGATCTTCCTGTGCCACCTGGGACGTGCCCACACCCTGTGATAAACCGCGGCGGGAGGGAAGATGCAGGTGCACACACACGTGTAAGTGAATCGCTGCTCTGTGGCAAAGCCCCACAAAACACAGCACGTGTCAGCAGGCTTCAGCGAAAAATAACATAAACCACTGTGCCTCTGTCAGCAGCTTCTGTGTACAGGGGGAAGGACCCTGTGCACATTCTTCGAGGTAAACCTTTTAGAACCATTTCATCCCACCCTTCAGAACACGCCACCAAGCTCCGGACGGGGCCGCACGGAACCTGTAAATTGATTCTGGCAGAGCCTCCAGGTTGACGGTGTTCCAGCGTGGCTCACGACACTGCTGCTGTTTCCCCAGGCATCTCTCAGGAAAACTTTACAGAGTTCTTCCTAATAATCCTACTTGTTTCTTGTAAATGCATTCCTACGGATTCGGGGAGGGTTTCTTTGTTGCCACTGTGACTGGGAACTGTTTACTTCATTATGTTACCCAACCAGGTGCCGCTGGTACAGAAGAAAATTACTGATCCATGTACGTCTGCGTTCTGCTCAGCCCAGCACCTCCGCCGAGTTCTCATATTATTTTTTCACTTGGTTCTCTTGGGTTTCTAAGCTCTCAAATCACATTGTCTGCAAATAATTTCAATTCTTTCTCGTATCCCATTTAATTCTGTTTCATGTCTTATTGCTACGTCAAGAATATCTGGACAATGATAAAGGGCACACTGCTGGGTATTTTTTAATAAAAGTTTTTGAGTTGGAATCAAGAATCTCAATCACCTAGATGACACTGGCTGTTGAACTGAGACACAGACGCTTCACTGTGGTAAGAAAGTATCTCTCTGCCTCTATTTTTAGCAGTCACTTTAAAATACTGGTGCTGGGTTTTATCACAGGCCTCTTGTCATTTATTCCCATGGCATTATGACTTACCTGCTAGCACTATGTATCACATTAATAGCTCTACTATTAAGCCATCTTTGAATTCTTTCGATAAATCCTACATAATCATGGCAGAGTCTCTGCCTAATATTCTGTGGAACTGAACTTGCCTGTGACTTACCGAGGATTATTGATCTACTGTTCATGGGCGACATCCCTGTGGGGCTTCTTTCCTGGGCCATCTCCACAGTTTGCGGTCTGGGGCCCATCTCACTCCAGCCTCCTGGTTCTGTGAGCCCAGCCGCCCTGGAGAGCCGCGCAGACAAGTCCCACAGGCCCGTTTGCAGGGTGTACGGCCGTCTAGTCACGGGAAGCGTCACCCCGAGCTGTCCTCTGTGCACTCTGGGTTTACAGGAGCCGGGTCGGCTCAGGGCAGGTGAGCAGCAGGGAGACCTCAGCTGGGAAAGTTCAGGACGGGCGCCTCGCTCAGGGAAGTCCTGCCCTGGCCTCCAGGGGCCCAGGGCGGTGTGGGGAGGGCTGGGCAGAGGCCTGGGAGGGAGACCCAGCCCCTCGGTGAGGTCAGGGCCCCACCCTAGTGGGCCTCTGCACCATCCGTGGGGACACACAGACGTCACATGCGCCCAGAGACGCCAGCGAGAGGAAGGTACAAGCGCTCTCAGCCCGCCCGTAACCGAGGGGAAACCGCGACTCATGGGGGAGGCGAGGCCGCGGCCCTTACAGCGGCCGGCGTCCCCAGACCTCCCTGCCCTGGGGGCTGACCGCCCCCCGGCCCCAGGGGGCCTCTCTCTGCACCCCTTGAAGCAGGGGGCCCGACTCCGCTCTGGCCACAGCATAGGTGGAAGGAAGCCGTGTCCTGCCCGGGCACGGCCCTCAGCCAGGCCGCCAGGGATGCGTCCAGTCTGGGAAGAGCCGCCGGCTGACAGCGGCTCCTGGCACCACATGTGGAGAAGCTTGGGATCGAGGTGGGTGGCGTCTGCTGTGAGGGTCCGTGGCAGACAGAGCTGCCCCTCTGCCCCCGGCCGGCTCTGTCAGTCCTCGGCAGTCTGTGAAAATGTCAACCCCTGACACAGCAAACGTCCCTATAGCTGCAGGGCCGGGAACGGGACTGGGAGACACTGCTGCCCACGGAGATGCTCGGGGTCTCTCCCGCTCCCACCATGCTTGTGTCCGGCGGTGAGCCTGTCCCTCCGCCTGGGGCTGGGGGTGCAGACGGCAGAGGCCAGGGCGCCTGGCGCCGGAGTCCGCCCCGCCCCTCCAGCCTGTGGTCCAGAGGAGGAGCGGGCAGAGGGGCGCTGCTTCCTGCCGACGGCCAAGCGCGGGGAGGACTGAGCGCAGACCCCACGGACAGGGGGAGAGGTCACCCACGGCCCTCTCAAGTCCAGGAGCTGAGAGGCAGGACGCGCGGACACGGCCGGAGCCTCCCGCCAGGAGGAGCCAGGGCAGCCCACGGCCGCCCCGAGGCCTTTGGTCACTGCTGGAAGGTCGCAAGGAGGCAAAGGGAAGACAGCCCCAGTTACCTGGCCTTGAGCCTAAGGAGATCCCCCCACCAGATTAAAAGGCCCTGTCCCCATCATCTCCACTACTGCAGGGAGGAAGACCACGGCTGCACACCTCGGCCACTGAGGTGGAGGGGACACCCTAGCGGGCAGCCCTGGAGACTCCCCGCTCCGTCGCGGGGACAGACCTCTTCTGCAGTTGCTCGCTGGCTCACTCAGTACCTCACAGGCGCAGGACACGGCAGCTGTGCTCGGGTCAGATTCTGTGAGAACGATGCAGGCCACAGGATCGCTCAGCCCTAAGCTGACCTCACACCCCGACCCCATCACTCCGTGCTGTGTGCGCCTGCGCGCAGCCGCACACACGCAGGACGCCCCTCACACCAGGCCCCAGAGGTGGGGCGCAGCCGCCCACAACGGGGGATGCAGACCTGAGGCTCCAAACCCCACCCCCACCGTGTGTCACGGGGGCTCACAGAGACAGAGCGCAAGCAAAAGCCTGCAGGAGGATCGTCAGCACAGAACGTGGAGAAGGACTTAGCTTCAGATGGAGGCGAGCAGGATGGGTCCTGGGGGTGACGGCTGGTGTCCGCGGGGTGACAGCGCGCGGCACGAACACGCTCAGGGCCCCCGGCCTGCGCGCGGCGACGGTGACTTCACGTTCTGCGTATTCTACCACCGCTAGAGTCTCAGGAAGAAAGCCCCTGCCAAGGGGGCTGTGGCCTCGGGGGTGGGGGTGGCGGGGCACCGGAATGCCCTCTGTCCCCTCCAGGGCGTCCCCGGACTCGGGAGGGGACCGGGTTACTTTCACTCTGGAGAGGAGCCCTTTCAGGCACTCACGCTATCATTCTTCATACCTCGGGTGGCGTTAAATATTTTATAATTAGTGAAATATTTATTAGAGATTTCTTAAATATTTGAGACAGCTTAAATATTTTACAACAGATTTTAAAGTGTTTTGAAAAGGAATGGACCGCTGTGTGAGACTGAGCTCCCCATCACCTGAGGAGTGCTTGGACAGGCGGGCGTCGGCGCGGGCACTCGGGCTGGAGAGGGGCGGCTGGAGCAACGGTCTCCAGACCGGAAACACGGCGGAGCCACTCGTGAGCTTCAACCACGCAGACCACCGCCCCCGCCCCAGGGCCGGGCTCTGGTCCCCACTCAGGAAGTCGCGCGAGGCCCCGGGTCTGTATTTGTTCCGAGGGCCCCAGGCTTCACGGGGGCTCTGTCTGGCCTGCGCGTTGTTTCCAGGCCCCAAGGACCAGGCCAGTCTCAAGTCAGGACATAAGGCTGTCGGCTTCACGGTCGTTGAGTCAAGGGTGATGTACCAGCCCTGAGCTTGATCCCTGGAGGTCAGGCGAGGCCGTCGACGCCTGACGTCATGCCGTCGATGCGTGACGCCACAACGTCGATGCGTGACGCCACGCCGTCGATGCGTGACGCAAGGGCTCCCCCCGCCCGGGGTGGGGGCGGGGCTCAGCACCACGGGGAGGCGAGGTCGCAGGGCCAGCTGGAGCCCGAACCTCCCCGCGGTCCATCTGGGGCTGCCGGCGTCACAGGCGTCACGACCCTCGGCGGGCGGAGCCACCCTGCTGCCTGAGGACGCAGGGGTAGGCGCCCCTCGGAGTACCGCGTCCACCCGGGGTCTCTCCGGCCAGGCCCGGCCTCACCAGGCGCTGGTTAACCGTATGCGGGTGACACTCGACCGCACGGACAGGTGCGTAACGCTCCCGGCGGCGGCTCCCGGGAGAGGCTGCGTCCTCACCTCACGCCAATGGC